TTGTTTAATACCATCCTAAGAACTGACAACTCAACAGATTGTGGAACACCAGTACTGGTCATCGCAAGTTTGCTATCGATCTCTTCGTATATGATTCAAGTAAAGCCCATCGGGGCAGGCGAGGGTAAGGAATTTTGTGGACATGAGACTCAGGATAGATCGTCTCCTTTTAGAGAAGAGCTTAGCGTCAGTGAACTTCATTATGGTGGATTCACTACTCTCATTTGGGGGGGGGTGACCGAAACCGATTGTCTGTGAACGCCATCCGGTCGAACACATCATGTTCATCTGGAATGAGAACATTTATTGCTCGACCAGCGACAAACTAGCCAACCGTTTTCCAAGTCATCGTAAGCAACTGTTTGTTTGAGGCTGAGGCCTTATCCTTTCTAACGTAGAGGGCTCATGCTTACCGACCGGTGGTGGAGCGGTGTCCAATTCACCACTCCCCAACCGGGGGCGAGATGGCTCAGTGGCTAGAGAGCGAATTTATTGACCGGAAGAAACGCGGTTCCAACCCGATATCTACATCTACCTAGAGTTCGGCAACCTGGCATTATCCCCACCTTCGTGCTTCCTTCACGTGGCACGACATTTAGGCACTGAAAGAGTGCTATAGCCGAACGATTATATTACTATTATCCGGCCGCCTCGGACCAGTTGCCTTGAACACAATAGGGACGTTCCCAGGAACATGTGCAATTCACCTCCGATACACACCGGGACCATTAGGATTCGCGGCCCAGTTTTAAGGAGGTGGTCAATAGTAGCCAGATTCGCCTACGCGTCCGATCATTGTCGAGATCAGGATGAAAACTTTTGTCGAGTGTTGGGAGTTTTCAGAGAATGAGCAGACGAAAAGCGATTGTTATCTGCACGGGTCACGACCCATTGGCAGCTTGAATTGGGCACCTTGAATGAGTGACCGATGGATCACAATGTCCTCGGTGGAATATAGAACGAATCAAGATTGGACGGCGGGCGAGTACATCTGGTTACGCACATTGAGTGGATTCAACACGTCTCATCATCAGTGGTTGTAGCTGCCGCAGTTTCGTTCACCGATGATTTAAGGGGGGGTAGGTAGCTGCGCATTGGAGGCGGGAGCTGACAAATTGGTGCATAAATTTCAACACGTCTGGTGTGGCGTTTGTACTGTTCACCAAAAATCCTGACCAATGCGCACCAGAGCTCAAGTGGCTCAAAACAATATACAAACATGCACTGAGCAAACCGTTTGCAACCAATCCCTGAATAGTTTGTGCCCAATGTTGCAGGGCGTGGGAGAGGGCATCAGGCAACAGTCCAGCGAAAGCTGCTGCAGAAATTCGTGCTCGACAGCCAAACCCCCGAACAGTGAGCACTCACAGGGAATACCCCTAGTATCCCAGTTCCTGGAAGTTGTCTACTTTGAGCTCTGCAGGTCGTAGAATCAAATATTATCATAAGTACCGCATTTTTTACAATGAAATCACGAAGGATTCAGGCGAGTGGAATGGTTTTCCCCGGCAACGCCCCTAAAACAAATATCACCCTCTGAACAGGAACACTGTCAGGATCCACAATAACTAATGGGGAAAACTCTTTCGGGTCCAGCCTTATACGTGATACACTTGTTGACCCCGCTATTCAAACCAACACACTGCTGAGTTTTGTCAACTTTTGTGCACATGTTTACACAATATGGTGAACTCATGACGTGGGAATAGCACAATAGTGAAAAAGCGTTTGACCGGTGATAATTATAGATCAAGTTAGCTCAAGAGAAGTTTCAGGTACCTAGAGGGTTTGAGTTTTCTTCATCACAACAAACGGATATGTTCAGGTGCAGAGAAGCGGGGTAGATGATCAAACGTAGCACGATGTGACTTCAAAGGTGGTGGTCTCGTAGCCTGCTGGGACGTCTGCAGTATGCTTCCGAATCTCGAATGTTGCGGGGAACCTGTAGCTCGCGACTGACATCTAGGAATGCGTCAGGCCGACTCAGTTGAATTGTGTGATAGTACCTGGCATCCATAAGTTGCGTCCGAGTGTTTTTAAGTGTAGAAAAACTATAGCTGTGGTAGTGAATAATAGTCACAGATGACCAGGACTCCCGAAGTTAGTATCCACTTTTACAACCGCCCCTCACTATAGTTTTTTAAAAGGCCAACCAGACAGGAGTATTTCTTCGCCTTGCGAAAGCTACAATTAATCTGGCCCTCTGAAGAGACCATACAAAACCGCTCTCTTTTAAGGATGCGTTCCATTCTGGGAACGACCTAATCCATAGGAGGAAACCTCGTCCCACCGGATAGATGATCCACAGAAGGGGCCAACTTTGTATGGCTTACTGAAGCGCGCCACAATAGACCTGATACTTGTACAGGGACCACTGAACGGACCGGACAAAAAGACGAGCGATTTCTTCAAAAGGAGCTAACTGCTGTTAAGTACCCCTCAGGTATGAACACTTTCGGCTACGTGGGAAAGGGGAAACTTCATCCCGAGAACCACAGTGAAACTGAGTATTCTTTTCAGAGGAAGATAGCTGGTGGCCAGTCGTGGAATTCTAGACCCAACCCACCGCTACGCACTACTACGCTCCACAATAACACACTGATGATGTCACCTCGATTGGTGATGAAACGTTTGCAATCATATTGTCCAGCTCAGCGAACAAGCCAACGACCACCAGACAGAAATCCCTTCGAAATCCCAGGATTTAACAGAACGTCCATGTGGGTGGCATCATCCGAATGATGGCATGCTATCTGGAAGGACATATTCCTGATTAGGTGCTCAAGCAGTCAACCAATTCAACAACAGCTTCCGATGATCAGTGTTCAAGCATGTCATAGAAGTAACGCCAACCAATCGCCGAACGGACAGTGTGGATTAAGACCGAAAGTGCGCTTAGATACCACGACGCCTTTTGTACTTTTTGCACTCACTTGTTCGCAATAAACCGTTGTGCTCCTCATTGGTGAAGCGAGGACAGCAGTTAGTTAAAACACATTCAATCCCGTAGAAATCCCAGGTCCATGTGAGTGGTATCATCCGAATGACGGCATGTGCTAGCATGCTGTTCAAGGACAACGGGAACACTGGGTCCAGTGCTCAACAAATTTCGCTTCTCAAAAGTGATCACTCTCGATCGGTCCCCCGAGGCCCTTGTGAAAGCTTAGATACAATCAAGAAAGACTGTTCTTTCACATGGCCTCTACAGACGGGGACAGGCAATGCAGTACCGTGCCAATGAAACGTGTGTTTCAAGGCACCTAGCTGTAATGCAATTGGTCAAGTGCATGCTTGACGCCGAAATGTGAATACATCCCAATCTACTCTGGGAAGTGACATGAATCTGGGGGTGCATTTGAGTTGGTCTTTGTGAGGAGTCGTAGTTCCGAGCAAGACCTCAAGAAGGACGCAGAAGAGGTCTCAGTAGGGGGTGAACTCTCTTGGGGGGAGCTTGCTGGGCTCGAGTATTGCATATGGGGCAAAAACCTCGGTACTTACCTCATAGGTCACACTGTAAGAGTAGGTAATAGAGAGTTCAGAATCCAAATGGACCGGCAGCACCAAAGGTGTCGTCAAAGCACAATCTGCTGCGTCTTTTGGGTGGGCGATGCTGTAAGAAATGGAACGGAAAATTGTGGAAAACAGGGTAGGGTGCAAGGCACGAATATGCGTAGGTGAATATTGGCAGTTACTGTAGGTCGTATTACGATAATCAATGACAACATGCACACTGAATACGGGGCGCTTCACGATTACAATTCCTGCATTGAAAAGTGCAAAATTTCACTTCATGGAAGACTACACTAAGGAAAATAATTGTAAAAACCGCCACACGCAAAATGAATCAATGGACTGTACCAACAAGGCATCGAAAAACATCGTAAGGCTAAAATGATTGAACGAGGGAACTAGCGGGAGAAACTTTGAACCGGGATGGACAATCAAGGCCCAGTAACAATACTACACAGGTGAGTACAACTCTGGCAAATCGAATCCACATCTACCCTGGGCATGGGTTGTGGCTAGAGATGACGATGATGACATCGTTCAGTCATCTACTAACTCTGCCGCTGAGGAGGACTTTGGTGGCTCAAGTACCGTAGATGGTTGTTGGTACGGCCAAAAGACGAAGAACTCATGATGAACCAGTTCCAGTGAAACTATTTCAGTTCAGTCTAGTTTTTCCAGCTCACAAACCGTGCAATGAGGTGCAGCGGTCCCAGCTTTTACAGCTTCCTGCACTGAGGATGAGGAGAGTAAGGGATGGCGATGGCCTAATTATTGGTTCTGTTTGTTGGATATGGATAGCAGCAAGGGAGCTGTGTAGTCCCCGTCCGGGGAAACGGCAGCTACCAACGCGACTGAGTTGACTGATAAGCGCTGTAGTTCTTCATTCACTAACATTGAGCCAGCTAGATAGCACTGGATATGACAGACATCGGCGTAAGGCGTGAAGACAGGGAACAAAAAGAGTTGAGAATAACTCAGCTAGGGAGGACATTCTTGAAACTTTCAACGTACCTTTGTGGTTCCACAACAACGCCAACGATACGAATGGAATCGGGCCAGCTCCAAGAATCTTGTACCGGATGATAATAGATCTTCAGTTTCGCGTGGTTCAGTAAGTAGACTTCGTTTTTAGACCGGGTCTACGCGCAGAAACATGGAGAGATATAGCGTCAGAATAAGCAACCATCTAATCACAACGACTTACCCGTGAGTAAAACAAGGTGTGAAAAATCACAATAGCTAGAGGCGAAGATTTCGTGAGAAAAACAAACAGTTTGGGCAAGAGAACGACAACAGTTGGAGTGAAACTTCGATCCCACGCCAACAGTCCCGCAACCGCGCGCGTCCTTTGCGACCCAGTGATAAGCCTTTTTTGTGGCGATTAGTGGTGTAGATTGGCAAAAGCAACCCTGACCTTTGAAGTTCATGCATTAGCTTTGTCTGTCAGACTTTCGAGATATGCATAGTGCTTCACAACTTCCACAGTTACTCTGAGTTCTTAGAGGCATGTTCCAAGATTGTACGTCTTGTGGCATAACTTTCCAATTAGTGGGCGCGAAGCACATGTCTAAGGACTGGATGACCTTCATCAGCTTTTCTAGTAAGGCATGGAATTTCCGCTCTTTTTCAAAACCAAGAACAGTGTCATCTGCAGATTCTAGGCCGACAAGGTTCTCACTCGAAGATATATGAACACAGGAGCTTTGGAGACCTTCTTCATAACCTCATTAATGGTGAAAATAAACAAAAATGGAGAGAATGGACATTGTTGTGGAACACCGATACTTTTCTAGAGCTCCCCATACACGCTCACGCGCCCAACGCATAGTATTCACAAACTTCTGGGGCATACCTTGTTGTGCGAGCGTGTTGAATACGAACCGGTCGACAGGATCGAACACAACTTTGAAGCCTTTGCAAACTCTCTACAGCTGCAAACCAGTGAAACGCAGTGAAATCATAAAAGATGACGATTACGTGGAATGTAAAAAAGGAGTCTTTTTCAGCAACTCAGTCTGTAGTTGGTCTTCTGCAGCACTGTAGTGAAGCACGCTCATAAAAGATGTCCTCACAAGCCACAAAAATTGTTAGGTATTATTAAACCCGTTTTTGAATCCCATTCAGATTTATGAAAGCACGTGGTTCAATTCAATTCGATTTATCACCTTCAAACCGTGTTCCAGTCGCTACAGTTTCGACCACCGGAAAAGGGGACAATGTTAGGAAACTGGGTAGCTTTATATTGAAGGTGATGGCTTTGATGTATAAACGTCACTGACCGCGAAATTGGGCTACTTCTGCCAGTGTCGTTGGTGAGTTGAATCCTGGGGTCACCATCCAGGGAGGCGACAGCTGTCGACCCGACTAAGTTTACTGGCTAGTTGTTTTAATAATTCGTTGCGAGATGGACCAAGTAGTTAGAACGCGAATTTACTCACCGGAAGGTCCGTGGTTCGAACCCGATCTCTGCCACTCGACTTCCCCTGTGTAGACTTAGGCGACCCGGCAGTATCCCAGCCCTCATGCCTCCTTCGTGTGGCATGGCAGCTAGGCCCTGAAACGGTGCTACAGCTGGACGATAATTCGTTGCCAGGTGCTACACTGTTCACCTTTTGATCATTTCTGCTCGGCACAGAACTTCGCGAAAAGAGCACTGCAAGGCAGATCGTTCTCTGGCATGCGGAATACATGCTCTAACCTGCATAACCTATGAAACGTGAGGAATTCATCTATTGCGGGAGAGTTCCTTCTTTCTAGGACCATTTGGCGCATCTCAGCATTGCTATTCCACTGTTTCCATCAGATCTGATTAATACTTCGGAGACACCGATGGTAAAACACACATCTTTCGTATGTCCTCCGCGCGTAGAGGTCATATCTTGGATCCGAAGAGCATTATGGATCTCACCGACGCAGTGTAAACTCTTCCGTTGACAGACAGACTCAGGTCACGTCGGTGCCATAGATGTTGGGCGCTGGCGAAAGCCGTCCTAGTTTTCCCGACTCGATAAGTGATCTCATCTCCGACCAATCCACCGGAGCCTGTACAACTGCCCAAATAAACAAATTTATCTACCATGTCGATTGGCTATCTAACCAGGACAGAAAGGGTCAGGTAGAAGGCAAGACAACCTGTGAGGCCCAGGGGTACATGTGATCCGGCGTGCGCTTGGAAAGGTTCACTAACATCATCATCTTCATCAGGTGTAAAAATCAAGTACATGTTGTACCGTGATTGTAGCTGTCACAGTTTCGTTCGTCCTCGATCTGGGTAAGTAGGGATGGACAGCCAGGCATTGGAGGCGGTAGCTGATATAGCTGATGCGTGAGTACGTGGGTATCAGTGGACTTTTCACTGGAGAGATCGCGATGGAAAGGTATGCATTCAAGGTAACAGTTTGGGGAACCACGCACGTTTGGATGACATCTGTTTTTCAATACGCCCGTTCCTATCCTCACACACAAGACTCATGGAACTAACTAGGAACGATGGCACGGGAATAAGCCGAAGGAAGGATAGAGGAACACAAAGCAGAGGTGGTGTGACTATCCACCTGCGGTGGATCTGAGGTGCCTCAAAGTACAAAAACTAACCACCTACTGGAAAGTCAGATATCCTATTTTTTTGGAATGTACATTTCTGCTCGCATAGAGAAAGACAAATCTTTTTTCATCTTCGAGAACTGCAATTTTATAGATCATAAAATTGGACCACTGTGAACCAGTGGTGATCGAAACTAAAGTGATCGATGCACGCCTGTTTTCGCAATTGCTCCGTTCACCATTAACTTCATCACTACCGCAAAACCGTGATTTATCTAAATGTCTTGCTACCAAAAAAGGATAAAGCAGTAGAATGAAGGTAGCTAATTCTCACGTACTAAAAGAGCTTCGAGGCGCCTACACCTCCAAACATTCATCTAGTGGTCGGAAACAGGGAAAAACACGCCCAGGACGTGGCAGATGGCGCCTCGGGTGTCGGATACGCCGTCTACAATACACATGTACCCACAACAGCTACTAACGGATAGTAAAGACTACATCTCCTGTCTATTTCTTTTCAGAAGCGTCTGCACTGAGCTGGCATGAATTGGCGGTCTCAACGTGTGTTCCCTCTGAATTCGATTAATTGTGGCAGCCGGAACCGCTGTATTTTCGAACGCGGTTTGTACCTTGTGCAAGGCATCGCAGTTGGTCAAAGAGGAAGCCAAACAACTGACAAAAACCCGGGAGCTCCTTGAAGATCTGGCACCACTGTCAACACTGCTGTTGTTGCCTCATATTCAGAAATGAGAACATCGTAATCACGCAAAAACAAGTCTTGCACACACGTATGCCGTTATGTATGCTAAGTCCCAGAAAAGCAACTATTCGAATCAGCTGATACGTTCTACTCAAGTAAAATTGCGCAATGATTATTAGCGAATATACACTCATTGCAAACTAATTTGGCTTTGAGAGGGACTTACCTGGAACCCAGCTGAATCTCTCGTTTGTGATGTTCTCAGACTCGGGGACTGCGCCTACCTGATGAGCCCTAAAAAGGGCGAAACCGGTCGTGGGCTGTCGACGGATTTTCAGCAACCTTATGAGTAGCACATTACAAAGATATGCACAATGACTAATTTTATTCCCTCAACCAGAGCGTTTTCGCGTTCCTTTACTGTCGACCGGCCTACCTCCGTCTTAGCTAAGACCATAGGTTTATCTCTTACACAATAGCTGACTTCTCTCAGCTCGGAGACTCAAGACGTTCAGAGGAAGCGGGACCGCAAGACAAAATAGAGGTTTAAGACACATCAATAACAGCATAGTACAACAAGGAAACTCACAAAAGCTCCACACAAGCTGTTCGATAAATCACGTGTCTCGCCAAAACATCCAAGGGGGATAGATGCAGAACAATACCGTTTTTGATCTTCGCTCGTCAGGCAAACGGTGACCGGCAAATTATCGACAACCCTAGGAGGGAAGATGAAAGGAGCGATGATTGCTCACACAATAATAGATAACCGTTCAGCTGCAACATCCTTTCGGTGCCTAGCTGCCATGCCACCCGAAGGTTGCACGAGGGCTGGGATACTGCCAGGTTGTCCAAGCCTAGACAATGGAAGTCGAGAGGCAGAGGCCGAGTTCGAACCACGGACCTTCCGATCAGTGAACCACAATACAGTAATGATCACCTGCATGCTCATTAAGTTTAGTAACATTAGAGAACTGCCTTTGGTGATGTGGGTATTTCGACCTTCCGCTCAGATTACAACTAGCCACGCAACACACTAGTCGCGCATATTGAGCAGCACGTGGCAACTGTGCTTTTGACTAGCTGTTTGCAAGTAAGAACAAGCACTAAGACGCGCAGATTGACAGGCAGCCCAAGTACGGACAGGATATTCGAACGCACTAAAAGAGGTTTAACATGTGGCACGCTAAGGTGTCTATCAGTTTGAGAGTCAACCGATTTTGATCAATGACCTGTGATCAGGAATATGTGAAAGTTGATGGTGAGAATGTGCCAATGAGATAACTTCAAACAAAGATGGTGGCGTCCTGTCCCAACCGATCTGAATACGTGGTGAATAAATAAAGGCCACAACACAAAGGAGTGGTGCAGGAATTGCTGTACTAGGTCCTAGATGTTGATCTGTGTCAGAATGTGCGGCCTCATTGTCAGCCGAATTCGAGTACATCAACCTGAACAGAACGGGTTGTTGTATTGTTAGTCGTGAATGTCATGGTTGTACGAGGGCTGGGATGCTGCTACGGCGCCCACACCTAGACAGGAGGACGATTGAGGTCCTCAACCAAATCCTTTGGCCAAAAAGCCTAACCGCAAGGCAGCGGTGTTGAACTGGAAATGCAAATGCATTACCATTTCTAAGGAACAAGTAGCCATACATGTTTCAACCCCCAATCTGGATGGCCAGGAGACTGTGTTCGTCAGACCTCTAACCATTGACCAACCTGGTGTGAGATTCTGAGTGTCACGGGGACACTGCTTAGTATAGCTCAATGGATCGGTGAGGTGCGCAAACCGTCACACCGCGGTAAGGTCCCGTGACGGACCGGGAGGATACTGAGGTCTCCACCGTGCCAATTTTGTAGCGAGGGACGGCGCCGATTGAGCCATTTGCTAAAACCGAAAATGACAATGAATAGTCTCTAAACCTAACACGAGTAGTAGGTTGCTTCCTTCGTATCAAACCCTTCCGGGTTTGGTGCGGACAGCTCATTTCAAAGTGGGGCAGGGGAGGCAGGTTTTGGGGGAAGAAGATATTGGATTATCCAACCAAACGAGACGAACTTTGAATTTTCATGACAGGTCGACATCAGTTGCAGTCGTTCAGTAAAAAACTGCATACAGGGTTCGAGTCATTATCCAACCTAACATAAAGTTACTAAGGTTACCAAGAAGCTCGAGATGGCTTAGCGATTACGACGCGAATTTACTGACCTGAAGGTGTGTGGTTCGAACCCGATCCCGGCATCTCGACTGCTCCTGCATGAGCGTGGACACTTTGTCAGTATCCCGGCCTTCGTGCATCCTTTGGGGGATGGCAGGTAGGCACCGAAAGGGTGCTACGAAGCTAATACGGTGAAATCAGATTACCGAGAATGACAAGAAAACTCGACGTGAATGAAAGTTTGGATCTTCGCTCCAAGAGCCATGAACTACAAATAACTTACCAGTGATGTGAATATTGGAGAATGATGGCGTTGCGTAAGAAATCATATGCTGGTTCTGTTGAAGCCTTGTACTGTCTGGTGCAAAGTTTCTCACATGTCATTGCTCTCATGGGATAAAGCTAGCAAAAAAAGAGAAAACAGATTTCGAATTATCTGAACACAACGTTTGGTACATTTGAGAGTAACGGACACAAGGTTTCATCACCATCATTGGGGACCAGGGCTGAGCTGTTGTTATTCGTGTCTCCTAATGCAGTCCACCTACAGTGCTGTATTCACGCACTAATTTATCAGCTCGCGCCTCCAATGCGCAGTTACCTATCCCACCTCCCCGAATCATCGGTCAGTGGAGCTACAACCTTTCATCACCATCATTGGGGACCAGGGCTGAGCTGTTGTTATTCGTGTCTCCTAATGCAGTCCACCTACAGTGCTGTATTCACGCACTAATTTATCAGCTCGCGCCTCCAATGCGCAGTTACCTATCCCACCTCCCCGAATCATCGGTCAGTGGCAGCTACAACCACTGTACGATAAGTACGCGGTTATTACAGCTGAGAATGATGATGACGAATGATCGGTGTGGAGTGTATCCCGGGACTCGTGACGTCTGCATTATCGTGATAAAGACGAGCCCTATGTTACGAAAGGCTGACGGCTCGTTTGTTATCCGTCAAGAGGAGTAGGCTAAACACCGAGTTCAAACCCATAACGACAAGCATATTGAGGCTGCTCCAACGGAGTGGGTGGATGAGATCAACCCGGTTGTTGGAATGTGAGGACTTTCTTGGATTATGCGGGCGAAGTCAGGATAGCTGGACAGGGTTTCCGTCAAACGAGAGCACCTGTAACACACAGCTCCACAGTGATCCACAACGCACTTCTGGTCAATATGGTATAACATTTGCAGTTAATGATCAGAAATAATCGAAATGTACTATTATCATTCGAACCGATCGACTCAAGAACAGTATCGGCAAGGTTCAAAAGTTCATCATTCAACGTCACAGTCGTGGCCGTAAAGATCGACACTTGGGAGCATCACATCAAAGACATGACACTGCTGATGGGAATGCCCGCACCGGACTGTGCAAAACCCCAACGCGCAATATTTTTTGGGAAAGCACAGTCTCGACCATCACCGTGAAACTGGTGACAGGCTTGTCAACTTCAATTGGTTGTGGGTCATCAACACGCGCTTCCAATGCCCAAAGAAGCACCTAGTAACTTGGCACTCAAACGATGGTTACATAGCTCATGAGATTTACATCTTACGAACCTGGATGGAGTTCATGCGCAGAACGCACGAACGGAAGGACGAAACCGAGGAGCATCAGACTACACTCTCCTACGAGTGAAGATTAGGCCTGACAACTGAAACCTGGTCCTGTTAAAAAATACGACTGTCCGGATAAGAGACGCGATATGGAAACAGGCAAAACGCTACAAAGCCATGAACAGGAGCCAAAGGGTTCGCCATGAACAAACATCCATAAATTCTAGAAAAATAACACAGGATTTCTGTATGGTGACAGAGAAAGCTAAGCGCAGTCGCGAAGTACTAAATAGTTTGCAAGGACAACATCCCCGCAGGCATGTGTAATTTCTTTCAATGTTAGATCGGGCAAATTAATTGGTTTCGAAGAAAACCACCTCTATCCTGCAAGTCAAAACAAGATGATATTTCTATTCTATGGCCTCTTCCCGTGAAGACTGTTTATACTTGTGAAAGGTTAGGGTTTCAGATACATTCCGTACTCTCAGAAATTTATAGCAACTATCGTTGGTAAAATGGAGTCGTCATTGTTCATGTGTTAGGCAGGATTCCACATGGATCCCGCTATACCGCACGTCTTCAGGCGCTGCTACAGCCGATACGCCTAACCCGCACGAGATTGGCCGAGA